TAAGGACACAGGAACATTTGTGATCTGAATATGGTTATTACCTTATTGGTTGTTTAATGGATATATGAATATATAAAGAAATCAAATGTACCCTTTGAATATATGCCCATTGGTACATGTAAATTATGCTTAATTAAGTTGAGAAAGAACTGTTTTATAATTTTATGTTGGTAACTCTTTAGGAAATGAAAGTATTTGAAGTCTATTTCCCAGTATCTCAAAAACTGTCAAATGCATAGTGTCTAACAAAATGTCTAATAAATGTCTAATAAAAGTAAGTCATTTCTGTCAAAACCAAAAAAAAAGGGTGGTGTTCTAGGAGAGCTACAACATAAGCAAAGAGATTGAGAACCCTTGCTCATGGATTGGAAGAGTCATCACTGTTAAGGTTTCTTTATTTAATAATACACACTGGCTATGCAACTTTATTGTATATGAACTTGAGACTATTGGGGGTGCCTTTTTAGCCTCTTCCTTTGGTCTGTCTGTTTTAATATTTACAAATGTATCCTCCCACTTAATTGATGCTGTTGTTGATCATGGTTGTACCGTCTCAGGTTGCTTAATCACTGAGGCTACATTTACATATTATCTCTGTCAAGTGGCTCAGTTCCACCAAATATATCCCTAGGTTTCTAAAGGGAACAGTTTATTCTTCAAAAAAAAAAAAAGTTAGTAAAAAATGCTCAAAAAATCAATGTCTTTATATGCTTATCTAATTTTCTATCTTTCAGTTGGTCCTTACATATGTTTCTAATAGCTTTTTAAGTTTTATTTCTAAATATTTTGTCTTATTCTTTGCTGTAAGTGAAGATTTTCATCTATTATGTCTTCCCAACTGGTTACTATTGATGTAAGCCAGTGCTATTTGGTTTCGGCATATTAATTTCATTCAGGTAATCTGCTAACTTACTGAGGTATCATTGGTTACATTACATTTATCAGTGACTTAGTCTGATTGTTTACATGTGATCTCTACTGTACAAATACTCCCAGGTTTCTATTTTTAAATTGATCATTTTATTCCTTTATATTTCAAATGATATACCCTTTCCCAGTTACCCCTCCACAAACTCCCTATCCTATTCCCTCTCTCTCCCATCCCCTTTGCTTCTATGAGGGTGCTCCTCCACCCACTCACCCACTCCCACCTCACTGCTCTAGCATCCCCCTTTGCTAGGGCATCAAGCTGCCACAGGACCAAGGGCCTCCCCTCCCATTGATGCCAGATAAGGCCATCCTTTGCTACATATGCAGGTGGAGCCTTGAATCCCTCCATGTATACTCTATGGTTGATGGTTTAGTCTCTGGGAGCCTGAGATGGTTTGGTTAGTTGATATTGTTCTTCCTATAAGGTTGCAATCCCCTTCAGCTCCTTCAGTCCTTCCCCTAACCCTTCCACTGGGGTCTCAGTCTTAGTCTGATGATTGGCTGTGAGTATCTGCATCTGTATTGGTTAGATGCTGGTAGAACCTCTCAGGGAACAGCCATACCAGGTTCTTGTCAGCAAGCACTTCTTGGAAACAGCAATAATGTCAGGGTTTGGTATCTGCAGATGGGATGGATCCCTAGGTGGCTGGTCTCTGGATGGCCTTTCCTTCAGTCTCTGTTCTAGTTTTTATCTCTGTCTTTCCTTTGGACAGGAACATTTCTGGGTTAACAATTTTGAGATGGGTGTATAGCCTCACCACACAAGTGGGGGCTGTTCATATCTACTGAAGGTGGTATCTACAGGTTCTATCTCTCCTTTGCTTCATATTTTGGCTAAAATCATCCCAGTTGAGTCTTGGGAGCCTCTCGATTCCCTGGCACCTGGAACTTTCTAGTGGTGATCCCCAGTTCCCAATCCCCAATTTCTACATATTTCTATTTGATTTCCTGATCATCTCTACTTCTCTCCTGCCCCTTCTAGTACCCAATTCTGCCCATTTTCCTTCCTCTTCCTCCTTCCCTCCCAGGTTTCTCCATCCTTCTACCTCCAGTGATTATTTTGCCCCACATTCTATATAGGATTGAAGCATCCACACTTTGGTTTTCTTTCCTCTTAAGCTCCATATGGTCTGTGGGTTGTACCCTGGGTATACTGAGCTTTGGGGCTAATATCCTCCTATCAGTGAGTACATACCATGCCTATTCTTTTATAACTGGGTTATATCACTCAGGGTGATATTTTCTAGTTCCATCCATTTGTCTCTGAATTTCTTAAAGTCATTATTTTTAATAGCAGAGTGGTACTCCATTGTGTAAATTTTCTGTATCCATTCTACTGTTGAAGGACATCTGGGTTGTTTCCAGTTTCTGGCTATTTAAAATAAGGCTGCTACAAACATAGTGGAGCATATGTCCTTGTTATGTGTTGGAGCATCATATGCTCAGAAGTGGTATAGCTGGGTCCTCAGGTTGGGAAGGAGGAAGTCAAGATATCACTATTTGCAGATCATATGTTAGTATACATTAGTGACACCAAAAATTCTACCAAAGAAATCCTACAACTGATAAACAACTTTAACAAAATGTCTGGATATAAAATTAACTCTAACAAATCATTATCCTTCCTCTACTCAAGGGATATACTAATTGAGAAAGAAATTAGGGAAAAGACACCCTTCTCAATAGTCACAAATAATATAAAATATCTTGGTGTAACTCTAACCAAGCAAGTGAAAGATCTATATGACAAGAACTTCAAGTCTCTGAAGACATCAAAGACTTCAGGAGATGATAAGATCTCCCATGCTTATTGATTGGAAAGATTAACATAGTTTTGGCTATCTAACCAAAAACAATCTACAGATTCAATGCAATCCCCATCAAAATTCTAACTCAATTCTTCACAGAGATAGAAAGAGCAATTCAGAAATTCATCTGGAGTAACAAAAAATCCAGGATAGCAAAAACTATTCTCAACAATAAAAGAACTTCTGGGGAAATCACCACCCCTGACCTCAAGCTGTACTACAGAGCAATAGTGATAAAAACTACATGGTATTGGTATAGAGACAGGAAGGTATATCAATGGCATATAACTGAAGTCCCAGAAATAAACTCATACACCTATGATCAACTGGTCTTTGACAAAGGAGCCAAAACCAACCAGTGGAGAAAAAAAACAGCATTTTCAACAAATGGTGCTGTTTCAACTGGCAATCAGCATGGGGAAGAATTCAAATTGAGATCTATTCATATTCCTTTTACAAAGCTCAAGTCTAAATGGATCAAGGACCACTACATGAAACCAAGTACGAACGCTGAATCTAATAGAAGAGAAAGTGAGCCTTGAACACATCAGCACAGAGGAAAGTTTCCGAAACAGAACACCAATGGCTCATGCTCTAAGATCAACAATCAACAAATGGGACCTCAAAAAATTGAAAAGATTCTGTAAGGCAAAGGACACTGTCAATAGGCCAAATTGACAACCCACAGACTGGAAAAAGATCTTTATTAACCCTACATCCAATAGAGAGCTAATATCCAATATATACAAGGAATTCAATTAGTTAAGACTCCAGAGAACCATATAACCCTATTAAAAATAGGGTACAGAGATAAACAGAGAATTCTCAACTAAGAAATCTCGAATGGCCAAGAAGAAGTCCCTAAAAAAATGTTCAATAACCTTAGTTATCATGGAAATGCAAATCAAAACGACCCTAATATCCATCTCACTCCAATCAGAATGGCTAAGATAAAAAATGCAGGTAACAGCAGATACTGGCAAGGATGTAGAGAAATAGGAACACTCCTCTGTTGATGGTGAGACTACAAACTGGTAAAACCACTCTAGAAATCAATCTAGTGGTTCCTCAGAAAATTGGAAATAGTTCAGTTTTCTATTTTTATCTTTATAACCACTTATTCTAGCCAGGTTATATTTAGCTGATACCACTATAATCATACAAATGAAGTGTGAAAAAAATTACTCTCTGTGCTATTTTCTTGGCCCTACTGGAAATGCCCAAGGGATGAGATTGCCACCAAGACCCTTACTGGGCTAGGGTCATGTGAAAGATTCCCCTGAGCTACAAAATCCATGTTCATTACACAGATGACAAAAAAAGATGTCAGCTCCTGCAGAGTGTTCTTCAGTCTTTCTTCCTTACACAATCTGCTCAACAGGGCTGTTACCAGTACTGTCACTGGGTCCTTCTAGATCAACTGAAGAGATAGAAAATGCTTAATAATATCTTATAATCTAGCCTTTTACACAATATACTCTGTTTTCTGTTCAATTGCTTTGTCATGGTTTTTCTCATGGATATATTATAGAAGAAAATTACTCAGTACTATATTGGTGTGGATCTTGCAAGTTGGTCACAATGCATAATTTACTAAGATTTTAACTTTTCCTAGAAAATACATACTGAAATCAAGTAATCTATCATTTTTTTACAGGTTATTTTTTGGACTGTTCTCAATTGTATAGATGCAGAAAAGGCCTCTGACAAAGTTCAATTTCCCATCAAAGTACAAACCCTAGATAAATCAGAAATATCAGGAGCACACTTCAATATAATATGTCTTAATATATTATAAACCTATGGCCAAAATGATAATAAATGGAGATTAAACTGATGTTATTTCACTCAAAATCAAGAATGGTACAAGGCACTTTATGATTAAATATAGTGCTTAAAATTATATATATATATATATATATATATATATATATATATATTCCCTGAACAATATACAAAACAAAACAATATACAAAATCAACAAAATAATCAGTAGCTTTTCTAAAAATTCATAAAGAATGTGTGGAAAATGAAATCAGGAAAGCAAATCTAGTCACAATAGTTAAAAACAATACCTAGCTGACCAAGGTATATAAGACATCTAAAATGAAAACCTTGAAATGCTGAAGGAAAAAAGAAGTTGCAAGGAGATGAAAAGATCTTCCCCTGTGCTCATGGTTGACTAGAATTACTGTTCTGAAGTGATCATGTTCTTCCAACTCATCTCCAGGTACAAACACTGAAACCACAGGGATGCATGACTTGGTTTGGAATAAATTTTATTTAATGTTTCCAAGAAAACTTTACAGGAACATGTGAATAAAATTGTATTTCATAAATCAAACTATTTATAGAACCTCTCTGTTTTGATTCATCCTAATTTTACGCACAAGTGTGAAAAAGTCATCAAGCATAAATTACTCGGGTTCAAATGTATGAAAATGATGTGCTAGCAAACAGAAGCATTCTACAGACACAAGATGCAAAGGTAGTAACACTGGGAGCTGTTACTGTTTTTAGTAACCCTGGACCTTTCTTGTCTATACCCTTTGCCTTAAGAAACATTTAAATAGACAGTTGCTTACAGATATAACGGTTTTTATTTTCACAGGACTCAGAGGAAACTGTGTCGCTTGGACTGTAAAAAATGCAGTGCTCTCGCCTGATATTTGAGAACTCTGGAAATCTGTAACGAAGAAGAAAGTGTTATCAAGTGTAAAACAGTAAGGATGTTTAAGGTTATTTTTATTAACTCAGGATGTAGGAAACCACTTGAGGGGGAAATTTACTGAGTGGCTTGAGAGTTTGTTCGGTCTTGCTTGGCTGTCTTTCAGCATCAGCTTTCACAGTTCTGAAGTACAATGCTACATGAAACTCAGTTACTCCCTCACTGGCCCCTAGCACTAAGACCACAGAATGTGATTCTAAGTGTGGTTCTGTTATGTGTTTGTTTGTGGGCTTCTCCCTCTATCAGAAATGGTTGAGTTGTTAGTTTTGCTTTTTGAGATACTCTAAGTACTCACTACGTAGACCAGGCGTCAAACTCAAAGAAATATGCCTGCCTCAGACTGAGTAGTGCTTACATTAAAGGTATGTACCACCATGTCTGGCCAGAAATGGTTTTGACAGTATTCTGGGTTCTATTTTGTTATGATGTATGAGTAAGGCAAAACAAACAAACAAACAAACAAAAATAAATAAATAAATAAATAAAATAAACAAAATAAAAGCCCAAGAAACACATGCACACACTGAGATATACATATTAGCAGACACAGAAAACCCATAAAAACAAAGTTGGAAAACATATCTTAAAGACTAAAGAAAAAAGTGCCCTGACAAAGCATTCAAAGCAAAACAAAAAAAAAAAAACATCCTCCAAAAATACCACTTGCTTACTGGTCAAATACTTCTGAAATACTTCTGGTCATAATGGGGGCTGCCCTTAAGTGTGGTTTGTATTTTTTGAGGGAATGACAATCTGGGAGGAGTTAGGTTAAGAAAAGCTGTTATCAGATTACACTGTATAAAAGAAAACCTAATATGTATGTATATATATATATATATATATATATATATATATATATACACATATATATATATATACACACATTTATGAGTTGACCTAATCTAGGGGAAAGAGCATAAACATAAACTTTGTCATAATATGAGTCTCTAGATTTCATGATTGTGAATGAGATCCAGGATAACATTTATACAGAAAATAATATTTGGCCGGGCGGTGGTGGCGCACGCCTTTAATCCCAGCACTTGGGAGGCAGAGACAGGTGAATTTCTGAGTTCGAGGCCAGCCTGGTCTACAGAGTGAATTCCAGGACAGCCAGGGCTAAACAGAGAAACCCTGTCTTGAAAAACAAAAAATAAAATAATATTTGAATATTATTTTCTGAAAATATTATAAAATGTTATTTTCTGAATATTTAAAGATAATAAAACATATAGGATACACCAAAACAACAAAAAAATGGATATGCTGTGGTGTCTGAGCCTGCCTGTATCTGAGATCACTTGAGCATGCATAGACACATATGTTGTTTGTATTATGTTTCAGTAAGAAAAAGACTAAAATTCTCTTATGGTAACAGCCACTCAATGTTCATATCACTTGAACATAAACTTGAATGTTGTGGGTAGAGCAGTGGCTGCTGCCCTGCTCTTCCCTAGGGATTTTATATAGTCTCATGCTCCACACAAGATATTTGGATTTCTGAGTCCCTGGCTGGGAGTTCTCAATAACCATAACTAGGATAAATTCACAAAACCTACCCCCAAAGTCCTCAATAATCAGAAACTTACAAATCTTTTGAGGGAACTGATCCATCCTCCCATAGCCAGGCATTTCTTTCTTCACTATAGTGGATTCCAATCCAGAAAAAGGTTTGGCTGGAGCTCATAAAACTCTACATAGAGACAGAAAGGACAAGTTAACCAAATCTGAATATGCTCTGAGATCCGCGTACTTTAAAGGCATTCAGAATAAGATTCAGACTGTAGGTACTCAAGTTGAAATTTGAATGTGCTCTGAGATCCATGTACTTTAAAGGCATTCAGAATAAGATTCAGACTTGGGTTCAAATCATTCTGATTTTCTGATTTGGGAGACATTATCACACACCTTAAATTTCTCAGTTATGAAGCCATTCACTCATGTAGAAAAACTCTACAACATCTTGGTTCTTGAAAGATGAAAATTATCAAAGAAAGGGCGAGAACTTCATTCTATGTTATGGTTCCTTCATGGGATCAAAGATTAAATGTGACCCCAATGTCAGCATCTTGTAACCTCTGCAACCTGAGCAAGGCATGGACAACTTGAGAATTTCTTTATAAGAGCTGAGTTATTTCCAAGATGTGCCTGGTGGTACAAGCCTATAATCCCTGGCACTTAAGAGACTGAAGCAAAGGTTCATTTTGGAGGCTATAAAGGGAGCTTAAAGGAAAGGCAGGGATACTTGCCTCTGTCTCAAAGTATATAGTAAATTTTTATATAAAAAAAAATAGTAGGGTGCTTGTCTGGCATGCCTTAGTTCCTAGGTTCAATCCCCTATGACACACACAATATGAACAGTAATGATTTGAGTAATTTCATGATCATATCATCCATTTCTGGTTTTACATTATATTCCAGAAAGATGGCAAAAAGCTATATAGCATATGCACGTGGTTGTGTAGTCTGCTCCAATAAATGATAATTAAAAGTTCCTCTTCGGGTCCTTTTGGCACTGTTAAGAATACTAGCCTACTAATTCTGAAACAGTTTGGGGGGGGCACATTAGCTCCTACTCTATTAAAATATTAACCTCTATAATACAACTTTTGAACACATCATTGGAGGCTTTCTAAGTATATATTTCAAAGTACATCAAACTGAGGGTCATGAGCTCAGACAGAAACATCATTGTCTACTTGGTAATAAAGACTTACGTAAGAGTGGTCAGTTTAGTCAGATAGCACATGTCTGTGATAAAGACTTAAGACACAATGAAGTACTTGCCAACTCATTTCTGGTTTGGAGCTGAAGAAGACTGGAATTCTGAGAAGCACAGAAATCTCTACTTCCCTTCCAAGACTTTTCTTCTTTGGAAATAAAGTAACAGTTGCATTGATGTCCAATCCACTTTTCCATGCAAGAACAGCATTCAGAAACTAAAAGACAAAACACATCATTACAGATTTCAACTTCTTTGGTGCTTGTTGACATTCAAAGATAATTTGTCACTATTTATTTATTTTTCTACAAACATTCCTTCAAAATGTGTTATACATGTCACATTTCTGAACTATTCAGCCAAACATCTTGCCTTGTGGAGACGGTATTCTAAAGATAGATTTAGAATGACACCATTCTCAATCCTTTGTTATGTTTTGTGATAACTAGATCTGAAGACAAAAGAAATCCAGCCTATAGCAGAGGACAGGATTGGACCCGAGTCAGAAGAACAATTTTGAAGATGTATCCACTGCTGAGGCTGATGGTGAATGTAGGAGTAGTCAGGGGAAAGAGACTTACAGAGGATGCACTCTATGAATTCCTTAAGTCAAAGAAGGGGACAGCTCTTTAAAAGAATCTTTATGTGTTCAAATAATTTCTTTTGAAAAAAATGAGTATATATAAGCCAATTAGCTTTAAGTCTCATTGATAGTTTAGGGGTGACAGTGTATCCTCAGTCTCTCTCTTCCTCAGTAATAAACCTCATAATGCATAGTAGGCACTCAAATCTTTATCAAGTAAATGGCACTAAATTTGAGATAAGATAAAATTTACCTATGTACCTATGTACCTATGATCAGAAAGCTATAAACTTGAGGAGCATTTCAAAGGGAATATTAAAATAGAGTTTGAGCCTATCTTTTATGAGTAATATCTATTATTACAGAGATGTCTACACTGTATTCTGAATCTCAGAAACTGAAGAAAGGAAAGAATATGAAAGCATAGGTTGTTAGCAAACACAAAATAAGACTTGTCTGTAATGTGTTTTGTCATTTAGCTACTCATGAATACTCATTAGAAAACATGTATGTACTACTTCAGACTAGTATCTTCTCTTTTCATGAAAACTATGACATTTTTATGCTAGACTTTGGACCTGAAATTTTCCTTAAAGATCCATATGTAAGAACATTTGCATCCAACTTGAGATGATGCAGCAACACCACCTTTTAGATGTAGAATACAGTGGTTCTTTTTGGGGTACTGGGGGAGGCTCTTACACAAAGAGTGGAAATTCTCCTCTTCATTTTCTCCTTCCTCTCTTCTGGTTTCTAACTATGACTTGAGTGGCTCTGCACCCACACATGCTTCCACCATGACACAATGTCTCAGCTTAGCTGCAAGAATGACAGGCCCAGATGACCACACACAAAAACTTCTAAACCTCTGAGGAAAAAGTGAACCTCTGCTCTATGTAGTGTTTACATAAAGTATTTCTTAAGCTAGCTTAATATACCCGAATCAATGTAATTTTATTTATTTTTTATTATAGAACTATAAAGTGGGACCATGTTATTCAGTGAAACTATGCTACTGCACATGAAAAATTAGCTACTGTTTTATCCTCTCTGAGTCATGAAGGTTGTGAAAAAAAATGGAACCTACCTTCTTGTAATTCTACAGTGAGGGAAGGAGAAGGTGTTGATTGAGTGTTCTGTATAGTAAATGCTATAAGAAATTATGATAGATTTGTTTAGTTTGACATGTATTTGTGAAATAAAATACTATATGTTAGAAAATTAAATGTTTATTATTAAATTATTTCATCACAATGTTGATTTTTTTCAATAGATTTGCTTAGGAACACTTACAATTTATCACCAAAACTCCCAAAGTAACCATCAAGAAAAGACATTTTATTCCAAAGATCAGGGACATCAACCTCCACCGAGTGATCCTAAAAACTATAGAAAAATATCAGAAACATAGATTAATGACTAACAGATTAAAGTACAACAATAGAAGATGATGTTCTTAAGAACAGAAACCAGTAAGAATGAATCTGAAGACTTCTTCCTGTTGTGGCGCAGACATGTCTCTGGTGAAACACTGGAGAATGGAGATGTTCCTTCAGAACACCACCCATTAGCAATCTTTTGAAGTGGTGTACCTTGTTCTTTGATGAGGTTATTCATACACATTTTCTGCCTCATTAGACTCATTTACCACTGACTCTTTAAATCGGCAGTGAGACTTATCTCTACGTTTAGAACAGATCCACAAGCAGTCATGATGCTTGCTGTGATTGTTTAATAATCATTTTTTCTCTTGAGAATGTCATGAATCAAAACTTCTATGTTAGAGAGATGATTGAAAAAAAAGGTTAATCACAATGTACTTTCTTAAGGTATAAAGTTAGTAAATGCCCACTCGAAATCAAACAGAATATTGTCAAGACCTAGAATCTGTCATTTATCAAATACCATCCTTGTCAGAATACCATCATGCAATATGTTCCTTCTGAATCCAGACAGTGTTTTAACTAGTGGCTTGTTAAGGTCTGAAGGAAAATAAAGAGGAACTTTCTAGACCTAATATGGTGGGATATTCCATAGCAAGTATAAATGGAGATCTGGATTCAGTTCATAGCACTTTGAATTATGAAACAAAACCAGCCTTTGAGTTTCTGTTTTCTCAACATTATGTTAGGTCATATTCAAAATCACTTCCCATTGGCTCAGATATTTCAATATGAGAAGAATCTGAATTAGTAACACAATCTTGTCAAATACAGTTCTACTACTAACAACAGTACACAGTCCCAGTGAGCCTGAGTGATTATCAAGGCCACAACACAGAAAGAAAAGTTATAAACTTGTGAATGTCCTTAATATTTGGCCATCCTTATTCCCATGTTAGAAATATGGTGTCAGTTAATCAATTTCATTTCTGTTTTACTCTGAACATAACATGATGTCTAATAGACATCACTTCCTAACTCAGGAAAAGTTTTCAAAAGTATTCATAAAATCATGCTCAAGTTTCAAAACACAGAATCAGGAAAACAATGAACACAGAAAGCATCAAAGCATGGAAAGTCTAAAAATATCTACTGCTGATTATGTACTTTCTGTTTTTTTTTTAAACCTGCTGTGAAGTTAGTTAATCCATGAGGCATCCTTCCTGGTTATTATTTTATCATTCCTACTACATCTGCTGACAGGGACACACGTACCTGCCATAAGAAGTGATATCCAAGGAGGGTGCAGAGATGTGGTTGTGCTTTTGAAAGAACGGTGTGGATCACAGAGTTGAGCAGGAAGCTAAGGAGGAGACAGTAAGCATTAAAAGAGGAAGAAACATTGTGTGTTGTGGTGATGCTATTGAATCATCTGTTGGTGGTACACAGATGCACAGTAGGAATGAGCAGAAGAAAGACCACAAGCTTTGAACAAGACCCAGGAACCACTGCACACAGGAAATTTGCTCTTCTAACTTTGTTACAAAACACTACAGCAAAATAAGTTTAGTGGGAGATTGTTTTCAATGCATATACAACAAAGTTGTCCCTAAAAGCAGTTTAGAAAACAAGGGCAAGGTGTATAAACTGTGGTAAATCCACTTAGTATCATAAATCTCACACAGAATTTCTGCTTTATAATAACAAATACTTATTTTCTTTGTGTTAAACAAATTTTAGATCACCTATTATCTGCCAAAATATGTGCTTTTGATGGCTTAATAAAGAAAATATGAAATTGGGTAGTGGGGAAACTGAGGTACAGTAGCACTGATTTGACTAAGGTTACTTAAGCTTGATGCCCAGCTTTTACCGAAGCATACATAGAATTTATCTCAAACCAAGCACCTCCTTGTACTTGCACACATCTTTAGTACAGACTGGTTGGAATACCCATATCTTGTTCTTTGTTTCTAATCCTTGATCACTGAACTCAACCACATCTGGCAAAACCCAGAGAGAATGAAAGTAGTAATCAGTGTCACTATGTTTTCTCACTTTTCTTTCCTCCTCCATCTCTCTGCCTCTTCCCGCCCTCTATCCCACCTCTCTCTCCCCAAAACATACTTTTAACCTTCTCTTTAATTCTTTCTAAACTACGAACTCTGGAAACCTTGATGTTCCCACACATGAGAGTACAGAGTGCTGGCTAATTATTGCCAAGTTGACCTTTATGGACATTTATCAGGATTTGACACAGTTCACCAACGTTGCCATTGAGACAAGAGAATGTAGGGTATTGAGCATCTCATAACTTACAGAATACTCAGTGAAATATTGGGCTTCATTGTATCTATTTCTAACAATAATGCGTTCTTCCAATGTTCATCTCTTCCCTCTGTATCCCCTGGTCTTATGTCTACTGTCCTTTGAACAAAGCGAATTTGTTCAAAATAAGTGGTGACTTTAGTAACTACATCTTTGAAACTGAGGAAAGATCTGAGAAAGGAATTTAATGTCCACTGAAGATGTGAGCATGGGAGTATTTTCTTTAACTAGACATGTACACCTAAGACTCTAGAACAGCTTGGTAAGAAGCATTCCAAAGGAGATATTTATTTTCATTTCAGTGCTTGTAAAGACTGTGCCTTCCCATTGTGCACCAGGCTGCAAAGCAAACTCCGTTAATGGAGGGTTCCTGAAAAGGAATATTTCAGCCTACCATAAAGTCTCTTGTAATCACTATAATGAAAAGCCTCACAAACTCTAGTGGGCTTTGCTTTTTAAATCGCTTACATATTTTATATTTTCATTAGGCTATGTTAGTTTTTAAATTAGACAGTTGTCATTTCTTGCCAGGCACAATGGCACATACCTGTTATCCCAGTATCTGGAATGTAGAGTAAGAGTTCAAAACCAGTCTCAACTAATATATTTAAATACATGTGTACTGAAAAGACTAAGAAAGTTGAATAAGTGTGTTTTATTGATAACTAAGGCCAATTAACTCTGACAGAAATATAGGTATCTTTCAAAATATGTTACTATTTTTATTAATCATAAATTTATAAAATCATATGCTTTTTTCCTAAAAATTCCCCCTCTTCTTGCCTACAAACCAAGAAACAAAACATTTTCAGAGTTCACTCCCCATTTATCTCTCTAGTCACTTCCCTCTTCTTTATGAATTTTAGAATCATCTATTGACTTCTAATAGTATAGATTAGTTTTCCTGTTTTTAAAAGACACATACCTGAAACAGAAAACTATGCAAGCTTACTCCTGTCTACATACAAGTCATCCATAAACTCTTTCCTCTGCTTTATGTCTGAGTGGGCTAAATAGACACTTCCTGTGGTCAGTGGATCAGAAACTCTGAGAGACTTGAATGTCATGGATGTGAGTCCCACTTTCAGCCCTGGAGCTTCTAAATCACTCAGAATAGAAAGAACAGATAGTAGCAATCATCTCAAGGAGACGCTGATGTGTGGATGTATGTACAAAACCACACATAGTGTATACATTTTGTAATCATGACCATATAATATATTTGTTTGTATTATAAATAATAATAATTACTAAATAGTTTGTTAATGTGAAGTACAGTTTCATTATAAAAAAAACAGGATATACATAAAATTTTACCAATGTTGACCAATTTTTGAGTGAATAGTTTCGTTCAATGGAGGAGAATTTAACACATTTTATGCCAATTTAGTGTTTGACTTGTATGTCTCATTTCAATACACATGTACATGAATGTGGCTATATATGTGTATATATACATATATATATACACATACATTAGTATATGGATAAATAGATGTATGTCTTAATGAAGTATTTTGGCATTCCACCATTTTACTGATAGAAAAGAATTATCCATAATGGTATATGTATGTCAAAAGGATCATACAAATGTACCCAGCAACAAGGAATTCTTCCTATCCTGAATATTCTTCCTGGAATTTAAGATTCTAATATGATTTTAATTAAGCATCAAGTCATTCATCCCTGCCATTGACCATTTCAATGGATTTACTAAGACTGTTCTTTCATGACCTTTCTCTGTACTTCTTTAAAGTCCTTTAGCAATGAACACCCAGTACCTGCCATCCAGGCAAAGAAGAATTTACAGAGTAGAAGTGCTTGCCATTCTAATCCCATACCATGTTTGACTTGCCCTCTGATATGCTGTGTACTAATTTTACAGTTATCATTTGGGTGCTTGCATCTGTCTTATTTTTTAACAAATGCAATAATATCATTCTACAGTTTCAATACTGTTTGCAGATTTAATCATGGATATTAACCAGAGACATTATAAGATAAACTACCACCTTTCTGTGTTCACAATGAATTAAAAGTAGCAGGAAACCCACATCTCATGAGAAGCTAAACAGATAATTAAGAAAATAAAACCATCAGCCCACACCTTGTTCAGTCACACTTTACTTACCCTGGAGGAGAAGTGATGCCATACGGTATGGGATGTTGAAGTTCCTTCTGAGTGCCGACCTGTCAAGGTGATTATTTTACCCAAGAGTGATTTCTTTGTGGAAGTGTCCAGATTAATACAACATAATGATAACTTAGACAAAAATATTCACATTCTCCTTGGTTATTTAGGATATAAGAAAATTTATAAAGCCAAAGTAAAAAACATATACAATTTTCTTTGTAATTTCAGTCCCAAGTGTACCGTTCTAACTATAGTTTGTCCACCACAGAGGCCATCTAAGCAAATGTGAGAGCTTCCTGAAAGAGCTGTCTCTTCACCTCTTCAGTAGCTGAAAATAGTTTAACTGTGGTGAGTTTGGTGTGTCTTTGGGTCCCATTCTGAAATATGACAGCAAGGTTGATATATTGATCAGTTCTTGACATCCAAAGCTCAAGCACTTACATGGAGTGAGTATCAATGCCATAGCACTGAGTCTGTTTCTCTGCCCTTCAGCAGATCATCTAGCTTCTTAACCAGGTCACTACCTGCTAAGGAAAACCAGACAGAAAGAAAATAGAATGTGGCAACTACAAAGATTCCCTAACTATAAACAAAAAGCACATCTGCACCCAGACAGAGGCTAAGAATCAGACAGGCCACGTAAAGAGCTCAGAATTCAGCCTTAGGAGACTAATCTTTCACTTGGGGTGTGAGTGTCAATTTGCACATTTCTTTAATTTTAGATAGGGTCTCACTCTATCTCAGGATTTCCTGGAGCTCACTCTTAAGTCGAGGAGGTAATTCTCCTGTCTCAGCCTCCTAAGGGCTGAGACTGCAGGTATCAGCTAGCATTCCTGGTTCAGGAAAACGGCCAATAATCACTGGCTACAATGAGTTTGAAAACTGACTCTTTGAAAGGATTTAATTATATTATGTTTTAAACTAGATGTGGGGGTATGTTACATGAAAGTAATTATTTGTGAAGGCTACAGGTATCAGATTCCCCTGGGGCTGGGATTACAGCCATTGTGAGCCTCCAGACTTAAATACTAGAAACTAGGTCCTCTTGAAGCACAGCAAGCACTTTTAGCTGCTAAGCTCCAAGCTCCAGGCTTGGAGATGATCTCTTAAAGGACTTCTCTGGATCCTGATAGGAGCTCAGCCACTGTTTGGGTCTGGCTTAAGTCAATCGCTCAGTTCACTCCATGAATATAAAAGGTAGGCCTGACATATATCACTGTCTACTCCTGAATACTTCCAATCACAGAGGTACCGTCACCTGAAACAGCATTTCAAGCCTTGGTGTGACAACAAATTCTAGGAGAGAAATAGAGGGGCGTTGACAGGAAGAATGCTCTGTCTTAACAGTAAAATGTGACTAAAAAAGCTACTGGAATAGAGTATTGCCATGACCAAGTAGCAGAAGACGTAGTATGGAAGAAAGAAGGGGCCATAAGTGAGCGTTGTAAATGTCGCTGTGGTTGATCATTATCTCTGTAACTGCAACACTGATGAGATTCTAACAACATCTGGCCACAGGAAACATTTGAGCCCATAACATTATTTACTCTATAAAAGGAAGCTTTAAAAATAAATGTGTCAACCACAAAGATAACCTAAAGAACATGATACATTGAGTGGACTGTAAATACCAGTCACTATTTTCCATGGGATCCTTTCACTTCCTTCTCCTAGAGGACTCAGAGGCAAAATCCCTGTGGGCAGAGGTAATGAACAGGCAAAGGCTGGAGGATGATTCAGAAGAATTCCACTCACTATTATCAGTCAGCCACATGGCTATACCACTCTGTAATAATTTAGCAGTGACTCAATATTAGATTAAGAACTTTTATAAGTAGAAATTTTTAGTTTAGATTTTACACTTTACAGTATCTCATCATTCCTGTTTGACAATAATTTATTGTATTTTGAGTACACTGAAATGCTACATGCATATATGGTGCAGTCAGATTAAGTTTGTTTTTAATATGGAAATGGTATTCTAATCTATGATAGCAAGGAGCATAGCCCGACCAGGGCACAGTCGTGCCAACAAAGTCAAAACATCAAAAGTGAAATCAATCTAAAATATGCCAGTGATTGTTCTTTTACACTCCATATTCCCCACTAACTCTTTAAGGAAGAAGAACTCGAAGTTAGTAAAGTATATTGTACAAACATAAATGTGAAGTTATTTATTCAAAATTCTTGGGGTAAAAGCTGTTTTGAGGTTCAGATTTTTTTCAGATGCATGAGATGAGAATATCATGTTTTAGAAATACTGACCTAACCTGACAAAGAAAGAGAACTTCAGACCAATCTCCCTTATGAACATCGATGCAAAAATACTCAATAAAATTCTAGCAAACCGAATCCAAGAACACATCAAAACAATCATCCATCATGATCAAGTAGGTTTTATCCCAGGAATGCAGGGATGGTTCAATATTCAGAAATCCATCAATGTAATCCACTATATAAACAAACTCAAAGAAAAAAACCACATGATCATCTCACGAGATGCTGAGAAAGCATTTGACAAAATTCAACATCCCTTCATGATAAAAGTCTTGGAAAGATCAGGAATTCAAGGCCCCTACCTAAACATAGTAAAAGTAATTTACAGCAAACCAGTAGCCAACATCAAGCTAAATGGAGAGAAATTTGAAGCAATCCCACTAAGATCAGGGACCAGACAAGGCTGCCCACTCTCACCCTACCTATTCAATATAGTACTGGAAGTCCTAGCCAGAGCAATTAAACAACAAAAAGAAGTCAAAGGGATACAAATAGGAAAGGAAGAAGTCAAAATATCGCTATTTGCAGATGATATGATAGTATACTTACGTGACCCCCAAACCTCCACCAGAGAACTCCTAAACCTGATAAACAACTTCAGCAAAGTGGCTGGTTATAAAATCAACTCAAACAAATCAGTAGCCTTCCTCTACATGAAAGATAAACAGACTGAAAAAGAAATTAGGGAAATGACACCCTTCACAATAGTTGCAAATAATATAAAATACCTTGGTGTGAATCTAACCAAGCAAGTGAAAGACCTGTATGACAAGAACTTCAAGTCTCTGAAGAAAGAAATTGAAGAAGATCTCAGAAGATGGAAAGATCTCCCATGCTCATGGATTGGCAGGATTAATATAATAAAAATGGCCATCTTGCCAAAAGCAATCTACAGATTCAATGCAATCCCCATTAAAATCCCAACTCAATTCTTCACAGAGTTAGAAAAGGAAATTCTCAAATTCATATGGAATAACAAAAAACCCAGGATAGCGAAAACTATTCTCAACAATAAAAGAACTTTGGGAGGAATCACCATCCCTGACCTCAAGCTGTACTACAGAGCAATAGTGATAAAAACTACCTGGTATTGGTACAGAGACAGGCAGGAAGATCAATGGAATAGAATTGAAGACCCAGAAATGAACCCACACTCCTATGGTCACTTGATCTTTGACAAAGGAGCTAAAACTGTCCAGTGGAAAAAGGACAGCATTTTCAACAAATGGTGCTGGTTCAACTGGAGGACAACATGTAGAAGAATGAAAATTGATCCATTCTTATCCCCTTGTACAAAGCTCAAGTCTAAGTGGATAAAGGACCTCCACATAAAACCAGATACACTGAAACTAATAGAAGAGAAGGTGGGGAAGAGCCTCGAATACTTGGGCACAGGGGAAAAGTTCCTGAACAGAACTCCAGTGGCATATGCTCTAAGATCGAGAATTGACAAATGGGACTTCATAAAATTGCAAAGTTTCTGTAGGGCAAAGGACACTGTCAATAGGACAAAACGACAACCAACAAATTGGGAAAAGATCTTTACCAATCCTTCATCTGATAGAGGCCTAATATCCAATATATACAAAGAACTCAAGAAATTAGACTCCAGACAACCAAATTACCCTAATAAAAAATGGGGTATAGAGCTTAACAAATAATTTTCAATGGAAGAAACTCGAATGGCCGAGAAGCACCTAAAGAAATGTTCAGCATCCTTAGTCATCAGGGAAATGCAAATCAAAACAACCCTGAGATTCCATCTCACACCAGTCAGAATGGCTAAGATTAAAGACTCGGGTGATAGTAGATGCTGGCAAGGGTGTGGAGAAAGAGGAACACTCCTCCATTGTTGGTGTGACTTCAAGATGATGCAACCACTTTGGAAATCAGTGTGGCAGTTCCTCAGAAAATTGGACATAGCATTACCCGAGGATCCAGCTATACCACTCCTAGGCATATACCCAGAAGATGCTCGAACATATAACAAGGACATATGCTCAACTATGTTCATAGCAGCCTTATTTATAATACCCAGGAGCTGGAAAGAACCCAGATGTCCTTCAACTGAGGAATGGATTCAAAAAATGTGGTATATTTACACAATGGAGTATTACTCAGCTATTAAAAACAATGAATTCGAGAGGTTCCTAGGTAAATGGATGGAACTAGAAATTATCATCCTGAGTGAAGTAAGCCAATCACAAAAGAACACACATGGTATTCACTCACTGATTATTGGATATTAGCCCAGAACCTTGAAATCCCCAAGATGCAACTCACAGGCCGCATGAAGCTCATAAAGAAGGAAGACCAAGTGGGGGTGCTTCGGTCCTTCTTAGAAGGAGCAACAAAATACTCAAGGGAGCAAATATGGAGACAAAGTGAGGGACAGAAACTGAAGGAGGGGCCATCTGAAGACCACTCCACCTGAGTATCTATCCCATATGCAATCACCAAAGGTAGATGCTGATGTGGAAGTAAGGAAGTACATGCTGATAAGAGCCTGATATGGGTATCTCCTCAGAGGTCTTCAAGAGTCTGACATACTCAGAGGCAGATGCTCACAACTAGCCATTGAACTGATCATGGGGTTCTCAATAGAGGAGTGAGAGTGAAGACTGAAGGAGCTGAAAGGATTTGCGGCACCATGAGGAGAGCAACAATACCAACCAACCACAGCTCTCAGGGTCTAAACCACCAGCCTGGGAGCACTTAGGGAGGGATCCAGGGCTTCACCTGAATATGTAAGAGTGGAGGGCCCTGCTGGGCATAGGTGGAAGAAGAGAACCTTGACCTCATGAAGGCTGGATGCCCCAGGGGGTGGGAATTTTGAGGGTGGGGAGGTGGGGGGGTAGATAGAGGTTACATCCACAGAGAAGAAGGAGGATGGGTGAGGGGATTGGGGGTTCCGGGGTGGGTGGGGGATGGGGTAAGGGGGCAACATAGGAAATGTAAATAAAACATCCAATAAAAAAAAGAAAAAAAAAAGAAATACTGACCTAGAGGTAGGACTGCCAAGGCCATTCAAGACACAGAGAATAAAGTTTGGAGGATCTGAGGAAAACCAAGGCCCTTGACATCATTGTATGCCTGACTGGACATGCTGCACACACAACAATAATATGTCTCAAAATATCATGTTACAGAAGCAAGCTTCATACAAGGTATATGCTACACTTTAACCTGACCTCATCAGCTTTACCTAATTATTTCATTCAGAAATCATTTATTACAGTATCTTCTAAAATGCATGCAATAAATCTGTTAGTGTAAACATTGACAAGGAATGACACTGGAATATATTTGAATGCAGTTTTATTTAAAGAAAGGCAAACATTTGCCATATTTTCTTCATAAAATAAGCACCCCAGGAAAAAATAAGAAAAGTTTCATTTTCATATCTTTTATGAACTCATAGGATTAAATATGCTACTTCTTGCAAATATATGTCAGTTTAGCTGTACAGGTTTCTGCCAAATAAGCTTCTTTTGATCTATAAGATGCACAGACGTTTTTCATATTAGCTTCAAGATAAGAAAACCTAAAATAAAAGAAATTCCAGTGTTATCACGAAATGATATAGCATTCAAATGCCTAAGAGAATACATAACTGTTGCCCTACATATAAATGTTACAAAATCCAATCTGTAGGATTTCCATAACCCATAATTCTTATCAGTAAAATGATAGTAAACCACAAAGTTATCAAATCAGTATGTAATTGTAAATATCAATTAATATTTCAACTAAGAAAGAGTCTAAGGGCAAAGAATATCAATTGGTTGTCAGAGTAGAGGGAGACAAATTTAAAAATAAATAAAGACAACTGTGAGTAGGGCTGAGAGGTATCGCTCTGTGGTGGAGCATGATATTGACAAGATCAAGAACCTGAAATAGATCCATGATACCACAGTACAACAATAAAAATAAAATAGAGCAAAACAAACTGTGAATAACTCACTTAAATATGCATTCATGCACCGCAGTTATTTGGTCTCATGATAAGTGCAATATTAAAGACCAGGAGGATATTAATGACATATTGTGGCCAAAGTTATGTAATACAGCCATTGATTTGACAGTCTAGAGGCAGAACACTGAACTAATGAGGTTGCTCCTGAACCCTAAAATTAAAGGAATTCATGCTATATAAAAGTGTGCTAACTTATCCTCATCCAATGAAAGGAATTGCTAGCTAAATCCATCATTTTTTGAGTAAGTGGCTAGGAAAAATCTTTCCTGGGGTGGAGTGGGAACGTAGGGGGTGAAAAAGACTGTTGAAACTGGTGGTTGGTGGATCCAAATCAGGAACGAGGATGTCAAGACAACTGTGTGAGGATAATCTTCATCTGCCCGGGGACTGCTTTCTAAACACCTGATGCCACGTGACTACTTACATCCCAGAGGGTGGAACCGAATGGTCTTCCCACAGCCACTGTCTGCGAGTTTCATTATAGTAAACTCCAACCCAAAAGAAAGTCTTCAAAGAGAAGAAATTCTGAAAGTGAAAAAACAAAGATATTCAGGGCTCCCATCATTATCTTCTCCATCAGCTCTATGGAGGTGACCTTGGAAATGTCAACTCCATCTGTACATACTGATTCTATGTCTGAAGTCCACAGCCTCACTCACATGATGCTGTATTACAACTCCATCTGTACATACTGATTCTATGTCTGAAGTCCGCAGCCTCACTCACATGATGCTGTATTACAAGTCATGCCCAAGCTATGAAAAGTACAAATTTTCTGTTCTCCTGGGAGATTTGAAAAATAAGCAAATAATGTGAGCAAAAGGACGAGAGTGAGGTTTAGTTTTTACACTGTTTTCACAAGTTTCTTGGAGCTACAACTTTACTGTGGTAGCTTGAGGTATCTAATAACGAGACTTGGTATTGGGGAAGCACACCATAGACATTTTAATTTTATTCTGACATCATGGCTGGAGTTAGAAAAAAATTCTCTGTCACTGTCATTTGGTCTTCTAGACCATGTTGGGTTACGCAGTGCCATTTTGTCTTGTTTTGTTTTTCTTTTCTCTCTGCCTGATTTGTTACTGAAAACAAGTGTTTCTTTCTGAATTCATTCCACATATTTATGCCTTTATATATTTTGTTTGTTTGTTTGTTTATTGCTATTACTGAGGATAGAACTTTAGGCTCTACATTTATGAATATTTTATCACTGAGCTACATTCTTCAATTCCCTATATTTCTAATTTTTTAAGAGAGAGACAGAGAAGGCTTTTTTTAAAAGTTGCCCAGGCCTGCTTTCAACTCAGTCTGTAGCCTAGACAGGTCTTGAAGTTGTGATCCTCCAGCCTTGGGTTCCCAAGGAAATGGGATTACACACCTGGGCCACCAGGCCCAAGTTCAATATTTTTTTCTCATGAAATGTAATTCCCAATATCATTTTACTATTTCTATCTTTTTCACATAATACGTAGATCTACTTGACATAAAGAGTGCAACAAAAGATAAAACAGTTTTATCCTCAACCTTGGATCTAGTGCTAAGTTTAAACAAGTGTAGGTGGCATTCCATTTAACGTATTTAATCTCTCTGGGGATCTCACATCTCGTGACTCACAGTTGCAGAACTTACCATCTCCTTTTTGTTCATCCTTATGAGACTGGAGTTGAGAGACAAGCAGGCACGCTGACTCTCTCTGCAAGTTAGCTCTTCCTTGGAAAAGTAATAACAACTGCACCTGAACCAGACCCAGTTCTCTGGACAGGGATGATGGAGTCCTAGAGAAGGAGTGCTTGTCACTCTACTGAAGAGATTCACAGACCCCAACTGTGCTCTTTACTTGTTCAAAACAGAGAGCTTTTCCACTTATAACAGTGTAACAATATTATATAAAGACAATTAAAGTCATTATAATAAAACTCTAATCTGGAAACACATACTTCTGCTTTTATTTTTATCTGAACTTTTAGACCATTTCTATCTCATAGAACATGTTTCTGCTGAGACTGATCCATTCTCACTGCTGACAATTAGTTTTTCTAAGCCAGAGTGGAAGCACCCCTTTATATAATCATTAGGTTCATTTTATTTTTGTTGTTGTTGTTGGAGAAATTGCCCATCCAAAATTTGTACTCATGTTAATCCTATTCCCATTGAAAACCATGGAATTTCACAAGAATGTTCTTGTTGTATACAGAGTTATGTAATAATACCAGCAGTGCTTCTGTATTGTGTTACAGTTGGTTAATCCAAAAACCTCTGTTCCATATTAATGTAAGATGTTAAATGTCTGGTACCATGTTCTATCCTTTCTAAGTTATTCTTAAATGTCGTGCCTATGAAGACTGTCTGCTACTTGTGGAAGTAATATAAGCAATAAATATGTTTTCCTGACTAAATCTGTGCACCAAGGCTGGGAAAGCAATACCTACCTTCTTGCTGAAAAGTAGAAGATGATCTTTCAGAAGACACTACAAAAATAGTCCAGATCACAATTAGTTCTTTTATATTGACATATCAACAGAACTACTAAAATAACTTCTGTTCTAGAATAACAAATAAGCAATTTTAGAGACAATGATAAAAATGAAGTTGTTTCCATGATTGTTTTCTGGTGATGGTACCAGAGATCCAAGCCAATGTCCCATAAATAGTAGACTAGCACTTCAATTGTACCCAGAGTCAAGGAGGAACTTGATAAGTTTCTGTAAACCTGTTCAAGAGGAGGAAAAGAGTGACTCACAGTGTGTGGTGAAAATTGTCATCACCATGGCTACAGACATCAGGAGAAGACATATGGCACCAAGCACAGTAGAGAGGAGCCTCCACGGAGGTGAGCAATTCCCTGAGAAAGATAAACCCAAGAGTGGGATCAAAGGCATCAGGTAGTGAGTATGAGGTTATAGGATGGGCAAGTTTGTTCCAGGGGTTACTTTCATCAGCAGAACATTCTAATGACTGACTTCTGATTCTCATAGCCAGCCTGTTAAATATTTTCACCCAATGTTGAAAGCCAACAATGGCACATTAGTTTAAAAAAATACCTGAAAACAGAAATATATTTGCTTATTGAACATCACATGGAAAGCTAATATATCTGGAATGTTCCATGGAACTAGTTTAATGTCTTTAATTTAAAACAGGGGTTAGTAGTCAATATAGAAAATACAAATACCACTGGATAAAGATAAGTCAAAAACATGAGTAACTAATTCACAATTTGTATAATATAGGAACTGAAGTAGAAAGCTTTTTTGGTTAAAATAATCAATTAACAGAACAGCATTTTAGTCCTATATTTGGCCTCAAACCCTACTCTCTACCACCCTCTTTAGGGTGAAGAGACTGTGTGTGGTGGGGGAGCTAAACAAGAATACAGTTTGAAAGCTAAATGGGGAACGATTGGTTTAGCTCTGAATTCTTCTCTGTACAGGTGGTTGCATTCTGAATTAGGAAGCCAAACGAGTGTCTTTTGATCAGTCCTTTTCCCTTCCATACTTACTGACTCTTTTCTTTAACCCAGCAAGCATGTTTCAAGGTTTACAGTGTGTCATGCAAGGATGAGACTTAGTAATGGAATTGAGAATGGGGGTTGGCCACACTTGAATGGATTCTACCTTCTCTCTGCTGGCAAGCAGCTTGGAACTGAGTCACATCCATAATAGACTCAAGCTTCACCCGGATGCTCAGTGTCACACAGCAGTCCTCTTCCTCTTGGTGTTTCTCATCTATTTGACTTTTCTTTCTTTTGACCTTGCTGCTAATATTCTCCTCCAAATACCACTGACTGGACACATCCTCTTCTTAGGAGCAAGAAAAGAAGATAGACGTGTTCTAAGTGAACATTCTATGGGAGCCTATGTTCACTGTAATGGGGATTTGCTGTCTTTTCATTTGGGGGTAAGTTTTCAGACTACTAGAGTTATTATGGAAAACTTAATTCATATTTTACTCTCTCCACTTTAGCAGTGTTCCTCACTGGGAATGCTCCTGTCTTTTAAAAAATAAGGCAAGACTGAAGATGAAAGTGGCACTCTTGTTCCTAGCATTTTGTCACTCAAGCTCCGATTTTCCTTTCTTCCTTCCTCCCTTCCTCCCTTTCTTCTTTTCTTCTTTCTTTCTTCCTTCCTTATTTAGCAATCTATGAATTGGCCTCTGCCAATTCCTAATCTCCCTTTCTCTATCTAAGCTTGTATCTTCCAGACATTTAAGGCAAGCCTCTGATAATCAAAGGAACATTCCAGAAATTAGCCATAACCTATAACTACATTAGCTGTATAAAACCATCACAAAGACTTGATTTTATCTTTACTTATATCCAATTTGTTTTGGGCTTCAAGTCTGTAGGAAATGCATCCATCTTTTGTTTGTTTCCGAATAATACGAGAGTAAAGTTTCAAAGAGTCTCCTGTACACAATACTGTGGTCAGAAACCCATCAGCCCCATCAAATTCATAATGCCCCAGAACAAGTTCCAAAACCAGCTACATCCAGTAATTTTTTCATACTTTAATTTCCATAATCCTGCAGCTAGGGAATTCAATTTCATCCTTTTTAACTTCTCTAAAGTTTATTTTTCTACTCAAGGCTAAAGCAATTCTCACGTTAACAATAAACAATGTAAACTATCTACATAACTGTAATTATTGTGATATTAATCATTTGGTATTTCTTATATATGAGATTAAATTGACATTTCATTTTAACTTCTGTGTTTCTAACTAGATTTAGAAAGAAGAGGGGGAGGAGAGGAGGGGAGGGGAGGGGAGAGGAGAGGAAGAAACCTTTCAGCCCCCTTTTTATAACCTTAGCATATAACAAACCTTAACCTGAATTTTCAACAGTCTCCCTGTGTTTACTGAATACAATATCATACCTTCACCAGTGATGTCTTCTGCTGTGTTTTTGTCTTTCTTAAAATGTTTTTTGTATTTTTGCCTCTGCTCAATGGATGAAAATTCATTCGAATGAAATGTATTCCTAATATTGTTCTTTGCTTTGCTCTTCTGCTGCGAAGTCACATTTAGGGTAGAACGGGTTACAGGTGCTTCATTCATCTTTATAAAGACAAAAGTGCTGTAAGGGAAGGAATGAAAATATCAGCATATTATAGTCTGGGAAAGTGTATTTTAGTAAAAAATGCTTAACACGATAATTCTAAAAGCATTTGTGTCGAGGAATAGATATGACCATATGCTTTTATGAGTGCATGCTTTTAACTTTGAAGCCTAAAATACATGAAAACAGATTACTGAAACTTTAGAAGTAAATTAATTTTAGTTAGTTAATTATTTTCTAAAAGCACTGTGGTTCTTAGGCTCCAATCAAGCACCTTGTAAATGTGCTATGTAATTAAGTAAAATCATGCTACGTAAATGCTTTACCAGTGGGCTACATTCCCAGTCCTTGGGTCTTTCTTGTTTTGATTTTGTTTTATTGGTTTGTTTTCTGTTTGGGTGTTTGTTTGTTTGTCTGTTTGTTTTGAGACAAATTCTCACTACACAACTGACAGGCCTTGAACTTCTAATTCTCCTGCTTCCCAAGGAGGTAGTTTTCCCAGCATGGATCACTATGCTTTACCAACTTAGTTCTTAAATGTGACTAGGCTGGTTGCGTAGTTTACAGTCCGTGCTTAGCACGTATGAGGTGCTAAGTCTATCTTTATCAAAACACACATACACACATACACACACACACACACACACACACACAAGCACATATGCACAAAAGAAGGCAAGAAAAGAAAGAAAGAAGAAAGGAAGGAAGGAAGGAAGGAAGGAAGGAAGGAAGGAAGGAAGGAGGAAGGAAGGGAGAAAAAAGGAAGGAACTCTTGTCTATAATATAAACTGAAAAAAAATTCAAAGATCCAAGAGGCAGAGGCAGGGAGATTCCTGAGTTTGAAGCCCACACCAGATCTGCATTGCAAGTTCTGGACCAACCAGCTACATAGTGAAACTCTTTCTCAAAACCATAAAAATAATAAACAAACAAAAACAATCAAAACAAAAACAAAGCAAAAAACAAATCTGCAAGAATTAATTAAAACATATTTTAAAAGACAAAATATATCTTGTGAAAAAATTTAAATCTGCTTTGTTATTCAAGGAGTGTGATTTGTCAAACAAACAAACAAACAAACAAAACAAGCAAGATAGATAAAATACCAAAATATCTAAAACTCAAAATGGGAAGAAAATTTCGTTGTATGCTATTTCCTAACTTTGATTCTCCATGGCAGAGCTTGAGAACACTGACCAAAATATAATAATTCATTTGTGACTCAGGTTCCAGAGAAGCTTTACTGTGAAAAATTGTTATATCTGAAAGTCACTATGCCTAGATAGAGGTCGTGGTATCCTTACTTTGGTCTGTCATTGATTTCTGTAGATTGGGAATAAGAATCAAATAAAATGAAACCTTGCTTTTTGGCATACTCTGGTTAGTGTTTATTTTTAATTAAAATTCCTTAACCAGGGCTGGAGAGATAGCTCAGTAGTTAAGAATACTAGCTGCTTTTCCAAGGGACTTCTCAGAACCCACATGGTAACTCACAATCCTCTGTAACTCTCAATTCAGGATATTCCATGCTCTCTTGTCGTTACTTGAGGCACCAGGCACACACAGAGTGCACATGCATATATACAGATATAACACTCATACTTAAAAAATAGAGATATAGTAAAACAATTTAAAACCATGCCTTGAGGGGGATTTATTCCCCCAAGAACAGGTTGTATTAGTTATATGTTCCAAACTCTTAACCAGAAATGGTCAGACATACCTGAAGCAAGGAGGAAAGTCCAGGAACAGACGCTAAAACATTAATATGTGCTAACCAGCAGAGTCAGGAGCATGTAAGACACAACTGGGAGCAGGGGAGGAAGCTGCTTGATCACGCTTCAGAGCCCCATAACAAAGTCTTCACGGTTGTTTTACATTTCCCCTTAGCACCCACAATATGGGTGAGAGCATGGCTTAGAACTCAAGTAAGATCACCTGTCCATCTACTGCTTAGTACTCAGGAGGCTGTGCATTCATTCACAGCTTACTCAAGTGAGGCCACACATTCATTCCAAGGCACACCAAGTCTTGGATCTTGAAAGCAACAAGCAGACATTGATGTGACCAAGTATTCCATTCACTAAATGTTGTTATATCTGACTCTCTAGAACCTCAGCTTAAACTCAATCAAGTCAGGATGGCTTGAGAATGATGTGTGTGTGTGTGTGTGTGTGTGTGTGTGTGTGTGTGTGTACACGTGCCTGTGTGTTAAGGTGTGGTCACCCTTAACCTTCCTTTGAACTTAACTAAATTTTAGACAGTTTTCTTCCAGACTATAACTGGCTAACCTACATATTTTCCAAAGTACATACTTTTGAAGACTGGATTTGTGTGTTTTGAGATATAAATCTTCAGCCTATTCCCAGACTTGTGCCCTAGAAATGTCTGTGTCAAAGATTCAGGTAAAGACATTCCTTTAGAATACTAATATAGTCATTAAGGAGAAAAAAATAAGCTCTCTGTCCAGCTCAGCTTCAGAAAGCACAGACTGGGACAACAAACATCTAAGCCATTGGCTGACCTCCTCCATAATGCCTTCTGGAATTTTCCCATCAGCTCATGTTATCTCTTTCTTTTGTTTCTGTTTGCTTCAGAATTGAACTCCATTTCTTTCCCCTATTTCTATCATCTTGAACAAGTTGTTTGCCTATTTAATTCTTCCTAGTGGATTTCTTTCTGCCTGCATATTCAGAAATAGTTTATGCGGAAGTTTTGTCTTATGCTTTACTTTCTTTTTTGTAAAATTGAAAGTTAAGTAACTAAAAAGAGGGGAAACAAAACTTTACTGTTATTCTCCCCAGGCCTGACTTAACATTCTAGTAATGAGAAGTCCAGATAGACAACAGAGTGGCAGGGATTCTGAGAAGTTGCAGCCCCAACACTGCTACCAATGCTGTGAGGATGGAAGGATAAGAAAGGCGCTGGCCATGATCCCCTGAACCACAGTCTGGTCGAAAGTCTTATATTGTCCAACTGCTCTCATCCTGGGTCTCTTTTCATATCCCTAAGAGTTCCCCTTCATTCAGTGGCCTGGGAAATGGCTCAATCCTCCTGGCTGTACAGTTTGAGGAGCCTGACTCACAGTCTTGGTGCCTCTACTACTTATGTGCAACTTGGATGTCTGGATTCTGGACTTAAGACTGCAGTAAAGAATTTCAAGATGAGTCAAAGTGACACAAACTTGGCTTGATTGTTGATCAGGAGAAAGGGTATATATAATTTGAATTGTATCACAGAGAAGTTTTCCTCAGGGTCATCAACCATGGAAAGAGATTTGGGGATTTTGGAATTATACTATGTAGAGGAAAGAAAGAAAACATTTTAACTGTTTGAAGTATAAATGAAATCACTGGGTGATTTATGCACACACTAGATAGGCTTACATGCAAGAAAGAAAAAATTTTAATGAACAAAAATATGGATGGATGGATGAATAAGTAAATTAATTAATTAATAAAATTTATGTAGATTATATACATACAAACAAAATCTTGCAACATATTCTACCAGGGCATACTTAATTAGCCATCTTAGCAATTATATGTGTGATATTTTTAGGAAGTATAAACTCTAGAAATTTTGACTCAGCTAGCAAGAAACAGTCCAAGGAAGGGAGCATAAGGGCTTCTGCCCTTCCTAAGATCCTCATGAACATTTCCTCCTTCCTTTCTTGTCTGTTATTTTGTTTAAAACAGCACTCTTCAATTTTGTACATTTTCCCAAAAATGACATAATTTTATTTTTCTTTATGGCTGGATAATACTCCTCTGTGTGTGTCTGTGTGTCTGTGTATGAGCAATATTGACACAGACACACACACACACACACACACACACACACACTCATTTATCCATCCATAGATACATAGGTTGAGTTCAGGAATGAATAGTTCCATCATAGTACGGGTGTGAAGAAACTTGAGTTTTGAAGCTACAAGGCTGGATCTGCAACATTTCATCCTCTGCCAATTCTAATCTAGTCAGGCAAGATTCTTTCCAGGAACTCTCATGTGCATATTTGTCATTGGATGAATAGTTAGCAAGTCTTTCACTCTCTAAGCTATCTTCTCATTCGGGAAATGTTTTCCCCTTACCTGTGCAGAACCTTTTGATTTCCTTTTTCAATTCTAGCTGTGATTTCCTGCACTGTTAGGGTCCTCCAGAAGGCTATTGCCTGTGGTTTTTCTTGAAGTCTATCTTGCTTGCATTTTTATGGATAATTTTTTCCATGTATTATTGGCCACATATACTTTCACTTAAAAGGTGTTTGGTTCCCTTAACACTTAAGTTGGAAGTCTTACATTAAAATCTGATGCATTTGATGCTTTGATATATTGATACACTGAAGTTGTTGGGGTTTTTTCTTTTTGTTGTTTTGTTTTTAATGTGGTATTGGTTATTCTATGAGAGCTACAGATTCAAGGAGTTGTTAAATGGATCTAGCCTGCCATCTAATGTCTATGCAGAAAATAACCATAGCTACTTTAGAAATCTAGCCTTGTTGAGGGCACCACATGAAAGTTCTTGTGCCTACAGTTCTCCAGAACTTAAGAATGTTAAGCATAATTATCTTCTCAAAGGAATAAATGTAAAACCTATTCTTCCATCTACAAAGCTGGGAATTGGAAGTGATTAACAGCCTGTTGATCTGTTGGGCTGGGTCATATCAAGCTCCTACAGTCAGAACCAAAGATGGCTAGTAATATATAGTAATCTGTATATCCAGAGGCTCACCAAGCTCCCACATCAAGGACCAGAGATGGCCAATAGCCCAAAATATCTCTACATTATGTGTATGTCTGAGACCAGGCCATATCCTCAGTAGGCCTTTAAGCTAATACAGGTAGCCTATCTCTAGAACCTATCTCCTTGGAGGAAACAAGTTGAGTCTCAATGTAATCATGCTTTCTTGTACACCAGGAATTGTAATGTACCAGGAAACTTTTTTTCCAAATTATACTGTTTAAATCTGCTGGCAGTAAACCACTTGGCATCAGACCTCTGAGGCTTGATCCAGGTTGATGAAGTCAATCTGAACTGAATTTTTATTTGCACCTCTTCAAGGTTCGTTTCTCTGCCTACTATGATTACCTGTAAGGTCCCCCTCACAGCCTTCCAAACTGTGAAGAAAATCTGGGGCCACAGAACTGCCTTGCAAATTAGTTAATTAGGGTCACTAACACATGTCAGAATAGATGTTAGATCATAGATGATAACTGGCTTATTTCCCTACAAATGAATAATGATATTGTTGACAAATCAACTGAAAGCACAGCATTAGTAAGAAAAATCATTTTAAAAAGAAATATATTTGATGTGTCCAAAAGATCCAGTAGCCATTCCCCACTCACACACCCAGCTTCTTAGTCCTGACCTGAGGTTAGGTGTGGTCTATCCCATCACTGACCCATCTTTCTCTGAGCCCGGTCTCATCCTGTAAGGTAGTCTGACAAGTCCATGTCTTGAGGAAGGAACCAAGCCTCCCTACTATGAAACAATATACAGATATCATATTTAATGTATTTAAATGAAAGATTTAGATAGGAGCCTCATTCCTGTCCATCAAAACTATGCACAAATATTTCCATCTTGCTAAGAATTTATCAACAGGTATAAAGACTGGTTCACCTGTGGCATTCACTTCATCTGAGATATTAATGGATCATAGCCATACCATGAGATGGGGTCCTATTGGTAGAAAGGGGTATGTATCCTGGAAATGGAGATCTCATGCTTTGCTGCTGGAATGGGGTAAGCCATCTACTTCCACAGCATGGCTTCTGCTGCCATAATACACTATGATAACAAGGGTTCAATATCCAGGCCATGGGCTGAAACCCTGAGTCCAAGTAAGATTTTCTTCCCTATGTGGTAAATAAGATAACAAATTTGAAAGACATGAGAAAATGAAGCAACTTTTGATCTACCATTTGGCAGAAAGAGACAGAACATAGAGAAAAGGCAAAATCAGTATCTGTACTCTATAAAGACTTCAAGGCTAGTTTAGGCTGTCAAAAATTATTTCATATCAAGAAATAAGATATTTACAGTATGGTATTAGTACTTTCTTAGGTGGTTACTCTGATTTCTGTACTAACAATGAGATTCACTCTGTTGTGGAGTGGTCTTCTGTTCAGTTCCTTTGCTTTGCTTATCAAAGCCAAATGATTCGGAACGTGAGTAACCACAACTGCGTTAATATCCATTTTTAAGTTGGTTGGTCTCCTCCTGACGTGGTAAGTTGGATGTTCACCTTCTTGAGGCTATATGCTCATTAAATCTTAGAAAGAAAAAGAAATCTGAGATGGCACCCAAGACAAGAGCTTCACTTGGGGCTTTTGTGCCTCTCGTTTCACAGGACCATACATCTACACTTAGCAGGAATTCTGATTTTCATACAAAAGGAAACTAAAGGTAGAGGGGCAGATGTCTCTCTCTCCCTGTATCTGTTTTGGACACACCCTCGAGTGGGTTTCTTATCTGCTAAGTGAATATCATCATGAGTCAGTATGGCACTTTGCCTGGCAGTGGAACTCAAAAGGATTTGTAAAGTCAACAGTGTGTGCATATTTATTCACATGGTGTTTGGGTAGGTGGAGAGGACTAACAACTCTGTAGCTGAAGAGAACCAGCAACTAATGAGAGTAGAGTAAGATCTAGAAGCTTCTTTCAAGTGAATTGAAAATCAGAAAATTCAAAACTTGTGCTTGATTCAACCCTCCTAGTGCCCTGGGTTGAAACATGGAGTAGTCAGAGAGGGAGAGTAGACCCTGCTCATACCTAAGGACTTTTTCTTGATATTTTGCCTGAGGGAAAGGCTTGATCTACCAGTGTTTGCAGGAGACAGCTTTCAAGTTTTCAGATTAAGTCTTGCTGAATAGAACCCTGCAGTCTCTCTCTTTTTTTTCTCTGTTTTCTTAATGGATATTTTATTTACACTTCATATGTTGTCCCCTTATCCCATCCCCCACCCACCCAGGAACCCCCTATCCCCTCACCCCTCCTCCTTCTTCTCTTTGGATGTAACC